CTTGTATGCTGGAGGTGGAAACCAGGGCCTGTGAGAAACACAAGCTGTTTCTACACTCCTGGCACCTTGTGATGACTACTTCAAAGTTTTGTTTGAGGCAAGTTCTAGGTAGCTCAGTCTGGTTTTAAGTTTACCACCATCCTGGCCTCAGTCTCCAGAGTGTCATATTTCAAAACTAGGAAACAAATTGCTGTCTCAGTTCCTAAACAAGTCCTACAAAGGTGGAACACCATTTTTTAAAAAGAAAAATAATAACCCAAATACTTTTTTTTTTAAAGATTTATTGTTTATACAGCACTCTGCTTGCATTTGTGCCTGTGCACCAGAAGAGGGCACCGGATCTCACTATAGATGGTTATGAGCCACCATATGGTTGCTGGGAATTGAACTCAGAACCTTTGGAAGAACAGCTAGTACTCTTAACCTCTGAGCCATCTCTCCACCCCTACATTGTTTTGTTTTTAGGGCATATCTTACTATGTAGCCTGGCTGGCCTGTACTTATAGAGATCTGCTTGCTTCTGCCTCCAAACTGATGGGATGAAAGATGATCACCTGGCACAATTAAAAAAAAAAAAACTTTTATCAAGCCTACTCTAGTAAAGAACTAGTGAAGAAAAGTTTCAGGCTGGTATGGTGGCCCCTGCCTATATTCTCACCACTCCAGGGGCAGCACAGGCATGAGGGCTGCTTTGGATCTGAACTTTCACTTCACTTCCTGCCTGTTCTTCCTCTGACCTCAGTCAACACCTGGAAACCAGTGCTTGTTCTAACATCCAAGGTTTTTCTTTTACAGATGCTTGATCTCACTACCATTGACTTGACATCTGAGATTGATGAAGTTCCTGATATTATACCATTGGAAGAGGAGGATTGAACCCAATGATCACATACTCACAGCTGTGTCCTTTTAGGGCAAAAGGCTACCCAACTAACACAACGAAAGACTCTCTTTTGCTGAAAATGTAATATGTATCAGGGTTTTTTGTTTTGTTCTGTTCTGTTTTGTTTTATGTTTGCATCTGTGTCTGTTCCTGTGGCTTTGGAGAATGTTAATCTACTCTTATTATTATTTTTTTTTTTGGCCGCTTGTTCTTAGTTGCAAATAACGTGAACTTCTAAAAGAGATCTTATTCTACATCATGTATCATTTTATATAATCCTTTAATGTTTAATTGCTGAAATGCCTTTATAATAAAATTGGGCTGTAGGCCAGGGAGATGGCTTAGTGGGTAAAGGTACCTGCTGCCAAGCCTGATGGTCTGGATTTAACCCTTTAGGACCCACATGATGAAAGGAGAGAGTTGACTCTCTCAAATTGTCCTCTACACACACACACACACACACACACACACACACACACGCTAACAATATAAAATTTGGGCAGTATAATCTTGGATCAGAGAGTTTTTTTTTTTTATTTAACTGAACATTTGTTATTTTTTTGTTTCTTATGACATTTTTTTTTAAATTATCAGTTGTGTTGAAACTTGATTCAGTCAACAGGAAACACAAACTAGATCCCAAAGTGTGTGTGTGTGTGTGTGTTTTCCTTCCCATGTCTTCTTAAATTTAAATTTAATTTTTTTTTGTTTGTTTGTTTTCGAGACAGGGTTTCTCTGTGTAGCCTTGGCTGTCTGGACTCAATTTGTAGAGCAACCTGGCTTCAAACTCACAGAAATCCAACTGCCTCTGCCTCTCTGAGTGCTGGGATTACAAGGCTCACCCCACAAGTGCCCGGATATTTTTTTTTTAATCTTTTTTTTTTTTTTAAATTAAGTGTGGTTTTCTTTTTCTTTTTTTTTAAGATTATTTTATTATGTATACAATGTTCTGCCTGCATGTACATGTGAATGCCAGAAGAGGGCACCAGAACTCACTATAGATGGTTGTGAGGCCACCATGTGGTTGGTGGGAACTGAACCCAGGACCTCTGGAAGAGCAAGCAGTGCTCTTAATCTCTGAGCCATCTCTCTAGCTTCTTCTTTTTTTTTTAAATCTTATTTTGCCTCAGCACTAAATTTATTATAAAGATTAAATAACTGAATTTGTGAGAAGCTTAGTCACACAAAACATTGCAGGTCACAAAACAGTCTTAAGTATTATTTAGCTAAATATATTTCAGAAACTAAAATATAGAGTTATAATTTAGTAACTATGAATATTCTTACTGCCCAGGTTGTGGTCAAAAAGTACCATTTTGCACTGAAAGAAAGCAGGGCTTCCAGAAAAAATGGCTGACTCCAGGTGTGAGGCAGGGAGTACCCAAAATGAGCCTTCAATTTCTTGGGAATTTGAGTAATTTTCATTAGACAAATAAAGGATAATTTGAATGTCTCTATGGATAACATATCTAGCAAATTGAATCCTGTAAATATGTGTAATTCCATGAATTCATGTATGGACATGTGTGATGTGGAGGGATCGGGCTGCAGAGTGAGGAAGTCGACATCATGCAAATGTTACAGCAATGATGACAACATAAAATGTAAGTGGAGCTTTTACTTGCCTGTTTCAGTTATTGTCTCTGAGGCTCACTGCCTCTGTCTGCTGACCTAGGTTGAGTCCTGGAAGCTTCTAGCCTCTGTACCATCTAACCTAGGCCTAGAATGTTTTCAGCCTCCGAGACTTACTACTGAATAAACTCACCCTTTCTTTCTTGCCGATCTCTGTCTGGCTGGTTCAACTCAGCTTTTCTGACTCAAACTCCTCTCCCAGTTGACTTATTAATCTGGCTATTCTCTCGGCCCCTGAATTGCTCTGCTTCAAACTAACTGCAGAAATCTTTTCTAATCCTCTGGCTTCTTATTTTCTGAGTCATTCTGTCTTCATCTGAGTTCTCTCTCTGCAACCCTTCTTTCTATTAGTGTCCTGGTAAAAACTGTCTTTTTTCTCTGTAAAACTACCTCTTAAATAGCTTCCTTTTCCTCTCTCTTCTTGTCAGAGTTGGGCATATCCTATTTTGTCAAATCTTCTCTGATTTGTCACCTTTTTCTGCCACTTAATTAGACATCACTTTTAAACATGGGTGCTTCCTTCTACAAACTTTACCTTCGGGATAAAAGGCATGTACTACCACACCTAGACCTAAGCTTTTCTTTACTTGATACTTGCTCAATGCCAGGCTAGTTTTGAACTCAGATCCATTTGCCTCTGTATCCTGGGTTAAAAGTGTGTTTGTATTCAGGCTGGATCACCCAGACCTAGAAGATCTTTGGATGTGATCTCTTGCCAGAACAGCCATGTTCTGAATTAACATTCTTATACAATAAAGGGTTTCATATCCTGAGAGTGGGTATGTTGAATGGGAGGCAAACTTAGAGAAGGTCAGTTAGCTGAGAGGCCAGGATATTTAAAAGGTCACCTATGTGAATACTTATATCACCAAAACCTCCTGTGAGCAATATCAGACCTGGAAAATCTCATAGATGTCTTCTACATGAACTACACGATGTTAATTTCAAAGGAGCGGGTGCTTTTAGTAAGTCAGGAGGCAATAACTGCTTGACATGGTAATGTGAAATAGGGTATCTCTCACCCTATAGAACGTGTTCTACGTGGGGTGTCGGAGAAACAATACCCATCATTCAGAGTGCTAAAAGGGGAAGTTGTATGCTTAGCAAAGAGCCAGACTCGGTACAGCAAGATGAAGTCTGGCCGGTGGTCGCTCCCACTAATAACAGTATTTGGAAGGGGGAGGCAGGATTAGGAATTCAAGCTCATCCATTGAAAAGGGAGTTAACAGCCAGAGGAGGCTAAAAGAAATCCTGTCTCAACTCCTAACCCCTACGACCAAAGAAACATGTGACAATAGAAATTTTGCCAAATATCCGGGATGAGGAGGACAATAAACAACTCCACTGCACTCGGTGGCTTTTGCCTGTAATTTCCGTACCAGGAAATCAGGTACAGGATTATAGTAAATTCAACGCCAGCTACACACGGAGTCGAAGGTCAGTTAGTGATACATAGCTGTTGGGAACCTGCAAAAGATTTCGTTTTCAGACTCCATTTAGTTATAGGAAAAACTAAATTCAAGATCCCAGGCCTGAGGGAAGCAGGGATTTTCCCAGTTGCTGAAAAGTAAGGAGACAGTTGTTTCTAGGACAACTTTTCCATCTTGCTGGCAGGATGAAACAACCGATTGCCTGTTATGCCCTAATAAACTAGGTGCAGCCGGCTCACTCCTTTGATCCCTTACCACTCTGAGCTCTGGAACAAATGTCTAGGAGGATGAGTTAAAGGCCTTGAGGCCAGATGTCCTGGATCAGATCCAGCTTCCAACAGAAACTCCCTTCCTTAAGCCATGATGTTAAAATTTGATTGGATGATCCTGACACTCAGCAATGCCCTCTTCTGCCTTTCTGGTTTTCACCCTTTAAATATGCAATACAGCTTCCCCTCTGGGACCAGGTTCAGATCTTGAACTGGCGGCCTCTCTTGAGTTCAGAAAATAAAGCTTTCATTTTAAGCTTCTGCTTCTGAAGTGAGTTTTCTCCGCTTCCACCCCTGACTCAACAATAGCAAGACCCTGTCTTTTGTTTTGTTTTTTTCAACACAGGTTTCCCTGTGTAGTTCTGGCCGGCCCAGAACTCACTCTGTAGACAAGGCTGGTTTCGAACTAACAGAGAACTCAGCCTCCTGCCTCCTGGGATTAAAGGCATGCGCCAACACAACTAAGTTCCTGTTTTAAAACAAAGGTAAAAGTGATTTGTTCAGGGCCATCCGTTTGCATTACTCACTCCAAGGGTCTACTGTGTAGTTAAAACGAACAGTAATCACAACCTGAGTAACAGAAATCAAAATTTCTAAGTATCCAGAACCTAGGTCCCCAAAGACCCTGGAGAAAGTCGCTGGCCAAGCAATGCTTTGTGGGTCTTGTAGTTTTTCTGTGTAGGGAGCTTAGGGCGCATTGCATGGCGGGAGATAGAGTCTTCTAAAGAAGACCAGTCCCGGAAATCCGGTGGCGCCGGCGCATTGTGCTTTTCCGTAAGCGCGGGAGTCTCAGTTTGCGGGTGGAGCTGCCGTCACCGGCTTGGTTTCCCGGTCGAGGTCGGCGTTTTGTGGTGGTCTGGCTCTGGGCGAGGAGGCAGCGGTCGGCCGCGGCGGAGGGGTAGCCGTCGCCCCGGACTCCCCGCAGGAGGGGTCCAGGGGTCCTCACGGTCGCTGGGCCTCCACTTTTCTCCCTCGCTGACGCCGTGTCTCCTGAGAGGATGAGCTTGTTCCGGGACTCTGCTTTCGAGAAGCAGCATCTCTGGATGTACCTTCAGGCTCTCGGTTTGAATAGGAGTTCCGGCACCACGGTCGGCGGAAAGATGGTGCCGCACGCGCATCTTGGAGAGTAAGGAGACCCCTCCGTGGCGGCGCGGTCCCGGGTGGCCCAGTCACTGGCGGCCAAACCCAGCGGCGGCCAGCCTGTGGCGGCGACTGTTCGCCACTGTGTAGGGAGTGTGGGGTGCGCTCAATAGGAGTGTCCTGTAGTTGAGGCCAAACAGCGGGGCTGGCCTAACTCTGCCTTTGTGGCTGCAGTTGGTGGGAGGCGAGAGGAACTCTATGCAAACGCCTAGTAAGTAGTTAACTTTGGGTTTAAACTTTGAATCCAAACGAAAACCCGTTACAGTGTTACAGCTAGCAAAAACATAATGTATTAAAATGAAAATTAAAAAAAAATCGATGTCCTTTCTTTTGCCACTTCTATTATGGTTGTCACCACTGTTAGGACCAATTAATGAATGATGAGGCCCACAGCAGATCTTATATAAAAGGTTTATTAGATGGAGATGAAGAGAGAGAAGGAGAGAGGGAGACATGATAGGAGAAGAGAGCGGGGCTCTCCGATAGAAAAGGAAGAGAGCAAGAGGGCGAGAGGCAAGAGAGCCCAAGAGAGAGACAAAGTAGTGGGTTGATCCTTTCAGGTGTGGCCACTTGGCCAGCCACACATGATGACATCTGGGTTGTTTCTGAGACAACCCAGAAGCAGGTGCCTAAATACTGACATTCCTCCCTTTTTCTGTAATTTAAAAACGAGGAACTTGGGCTGCTTCTCATGTAAGACAAGTTAAAGTATATAAATTTAGGTTCATCGGAAGCAGCTCTTATTTGCTATGCAAGGGGGTAAGAGAGAAATAACAATACAAAATAACAATACAAAAGTCCGACTGGTACTCTGTACTCAGATCTCTGTCAGTACAGAAATCAGCATTTGAAGACATGTATGTGGTGCACAGAAAGATTATACCCACATATTTCTATGAATTTGTAGTTTGTATGGGCATTTATTTGTGTAACTTCTGTTACAAATTTGAACGTACTAAGCTGACCAGTTGTTTCAGTCCAGGGTATTTTTTTCAAAGACTGCATTTTGAAAGTCTTACTAGTTTTGTTAGGGAGTGGACAAGAGGGGAAGGAGAGTTGCATAGTTACACACCTCTGTAAATTGGCAGTGGGAAGGAAAAGAGAGGTGGATCTATGTGTTCTTTGAACAGATACTTGCTGAATGTAGTACCTGACCTGGGATATTTTTTGGGGGGGGGCAATTTTTCTAGCTTCTAGATTGAAGTTTTGTATATATAATAAGGGGGGTCAGATTATTACAGTTTTTAAGATAAGCACACAAAATACACAAAGATGTACAAATTATACATTTTAAGAAAATAGTGTAGTAGAATTTGGGATGATTGCTATCTGTAAAAGTCCTAAGATAATGCCCAGCAAATATCAAGTTCTCAAAAAACGTTAGCTTTTATCACTGCTCTTAGTAAATGTTGATCAGTGCCATCTTCATCCTGTCAGAGTCTGTAGTCTTTGCTAGCTGATTACGTTCGTCCTTTCTGTTTAATGTTTCAGAGTCATAGAGCAGATGCTAGTTTTTATTTGGATCTCTATTTTTCAGAATCAGAAAATAAAAGCTTTTATGCTTTCCTTGAGTATAAAATGTACTTGAAAAATTAATTCACCTTGACCTCTTGAAGAGAATGAAAAATACCAATTTGAGGACAACATGTAGGCAGTTTATGATGCTGTAGAGTTTTATTAATGGTTTATCTTTGCTTACCATTAGGAACATGTTTGACAAACTGAACCGTGATGCCTTTTATATAGTTTCCTATTTTTTGTTTCAAACGCTGAATGAGTCTCGTGCCAAAGAAGTTTTCAGGTAAGAAAAAAATCTTTCTTTTCTTTCTTTTTTCTTTTTTTTTAAAGTCATTCTCAGATTTGAAATAGACTTTATGTAATCCCGAATTCCAACTTTGGCCATTAATTTGTTTCTAATGGATGCAATAAAATTTTGGTATGAGCCTTAGGAACTGTAGTGTTTAACCTTGATATAGGTAGGTGAGGGCTTGGGTATGTGTATGTGTGTACACACAATTTTTTTTGTTGATTTTGTTTCTTGAAATTTCAAGTTTGTTTCTTGAAATTTGTTCCTTCTGTTCTTCATGGTCTTTTTCTTTCTTCTTCCTTCATCATCCTTGTCAGTCATCTTCTTTCCTCCTCTTCTTCCTTTTTCTTTGTTGTTGTCATAGTCTTTGTCTTTTTTTTTTTTTTTTAGGTTTTTCCAGACAGGGTTTCTTTATGTAGGCCTGGCTGTCCTGGAACTCATTCTGTAGATTAGGCTGGCCTCGAACTCAGAGATCTGCCTGCTCTGCCTCTGGAATTTATTTATGTATTTAGTTTAGTTTTTTTTTGGTTTTTTTTTTTTTTTTTTTTTTTTTTTTTGAGACAGGGTTTCTCTGTGTAGCTTTGGCTGTTCTAGAACTAGCTCAGTACACCAGTCTGGACTCAGACTCTCAGAGCTCTGCCTGCCTCTGCCTCCCAATTGCTGGGATTAAAGGCATGCACCACCACTGCTCGACTTTAAATCTTTTTTCAGTGTTGGAGATTGAACCCAGGGCTTATACATGCTAGGCAAGTACTCTACCATTGAGCCACAGCCTCAACCCCATTTTTTTCCCCTCTTTTGGTTTTTTTAAGACAAGGTTTCTCTATGAAACAGTGCCTGGTTGTCCTTTGAAGACCAGGCTGCCCTCAAACCCACGGAGATCTACTTGCCTCTGCCTTCAAAGTGCTGGGATAAAAGCATGAGCCACTATGTCCAGCTTTATGGTCTTTGTCTGATGTGAGGATTGAGACAGGGTCTTACTATGTTGCTCTGGCCTAGCCTAGAACTCTATGTATAATACAAACACATAGGCTGGCCTTAACACATAGAGATCCATCTGCCTCTGCCTCTAGTGCTGGGATTAAAGGGTATGAGCCACCATATCAGTTTCATGGTATGTTAATTAAAAATTAAAAATTAAGCCAGGCTTGTTGGTGCACGCCTATAATCCCAGCATTCAGAGAGGCAGAGGCAGGTGGAACATTGTGAGTTCAAGGTCAGCCTGGTCTACAAAGCAAGTCCAGGACAGTGAGGTTACACAGAGAAACCCTGTCTCAAAAAACCAAAAAAAAAACAAAACAAACAAAACTAAACAAAAAACCCAAAACCAAAAATGATCAAAGTAAAATTTATGTATTGTGGATTGACGTACATTTATTTTTTTTTTTCTTGTTTTGGGAGCACTAGAGAAATGGCTGTGATTAAGATCCCTGGCTGTTCTTCCAGAGGACCTGAGTTTGATTCCCACACCTACATTTACCTTCAGCCATCTCTAACTTCAGTTATAGGGGATCCAACATCCTTTTCTGGTCTCTGAAGGCACTGGGCGTGGAAAGTAGTGCAAAGATATACATGCAGGGAACACAACCATAGACATAAAATAAAAATTAAAACTTTGGGTTTTATTTGTTTTTGTTTTGTTTGAGACCAGAGTCACATTTGTGTGGTTGTGGTTGGCCTAGAGCCTGTTATGTTGACCAGTTTGGCCTTCAAAAAATATTTCAAGTAAACTAAGTAAAACTAAATAAATAGATAAATAAATCTGTGACAGGATGATCTTAGTTACTGTTCTGTTGTGAAGAGACAACCATGATCAAGGCAAGTCTTGTAAGAGCATTTAATTGAGGGCTGGCTAAGTCCATTGTTGTCATGGTGGGAAAGCATAGCAGCATGTCAGGCATGATGCTGGAGTAGAGCTATGTCTTGATCTGTAGGCAGATAGGGATTGGGGAGAGAGAAAGAAACCTCAAAGCCATTAATCTTTTTTTTTTTTTTTTTTCCTCTCTTCCTGTCCTGGAACTAGCCCTATAAGAATTCAGGGATTCCCCTGCCTCTGCTTTCCTAATACTAGGATTTCAGGCATGTAACACCAGCTGGCTAAATCCTTCCAGTCCTATTAAAAAGAGTTCTTCCACTTCTTGGTGACTACATTCAAATATGAGCCTATGGGGCCATTGTTATTCAAACCACCACAAGAAGTTTCAAAGAAAAAGAGAATTTTTTCTGACTTTTTTCCTGATGAAAAGCATCATGGTTCATTGTGTTTTAGAAAATGTAAAGACAGAAGTAAGCATCATTCCTAAACCCACAAAGCTGAGAACATAACTGTTTATATTCTAGCCTTCAGTTATGTTCTTACAAATTTATTGTTGTTGTTGTTATTTTCTACTACGTATTGTGTTTACAATCCTTTGCTAGGCATGTTCTCTACTACTGAGTGATAACCCCAGCCCAGTTTTTTTTTTTTTTTTCTCCCTGTGAATATAAAGCCATGTTATAAAAGTACAAACAATTGATTCTACTTTTGAGAGATGGGCTATCTCTGTAGCCCTGGTTGGCCTGGATCCTCCTTCCTCTCCCTACTGCAAGGTTAGAGGCATGCACTACCACATTGGGCTCAAAGCTTGTTTCTTTAAATAAGTAATTATGTCTCAATAAATAATTGGACAAAAAAGATTATTGAGAAAGTAATAGGTAAATTATAAGTTCCTTTTTAATTTAATTTTTTTTATAAGTATTACCCTTGGCTGGCCTGGTATCCTATGTAGATTTAAAACACAGAGCTGTTCATGCCTCTGCCTACCCAATGCTAGGATTAAAGGCTTACACCAAGACTGATGTATTTTCTGGTAAATCTCTATGTAATATATAACTATTTGTAGTAAAATGAACTGTGCTTATAAATATTGACCTAAGAGAAAACTATTCCTCATAGATTGATGTCTTTAGCTGAATCTAGGAACACTAGTTTATTTTAATGTTTCTACCATGGGGAATAAATTTGATGTCTTTTAATTTTTGCTAAATTTGTATTTTGGAAGGTAAAGTGGCTTGAATAGACATAATCCCCATAGATTCATGTGTTGCCTTGGTCATTGGGTCTCTTCACAGCAATAAAATCTGAACTAATAGTGTTCATTAGTCTACTGCTGTTATGTTTTTAAGAGATTGCTGGCCTCCATTTGACCAAAAACATGATATGGAATTCCGGAAACATTGCTGTGAATGGTTAAAAGAAATTTCTGTAAGTATTGCCTTTGTAAAATAGAAAATGCAGACTTGAAGAAAGTCCAGGTATGCCTGTAATCTGAGGGCCTGAGAGGCAAAGAGAAGCAGAAGGATCTGTATAAATTTAAGGCCAATCTGGTTTTCACAGTGACATAATGAGACTGTCTTACAAAAATAGATAAAATAACAGCAGCAATAACAATATCCCTTAAGGCTGAGAATATAGCTCAGACACTTGCCTAACGTGTGTAAGCCCCATGTTCCATCAACAGCACCCTAAAAAAACATTCTAACCAAATCAAACCAAGAACAACAAACTACTGAACTATATAAGCTACATTAATGCTTTTTGAAAATGAAACCTATGTGAGTGAGTGTGTATGTATATATGTGTGTCTCTAGGCCGAAGGTTAAGTTTGGATGTCTAGCTTGATTATACTTGTGTGTGTGTGTGTGTGTGTGTGTGTGTGTGTGTGTGTGTGTGTGTGTG